CTGACCAGGAGTACCTCTGTCTTGTCTGGATTCAATTTCAATTTGTTCGCCCTCATCCAGACCGTCACAGCGGCCAAGCACCGGTTCAGGACCTGGACAGCCTCCTTAGTAGTAGGTGGAAAGGAGTGACAGAGTTGGACATCATCTGCGTACAGATGACACCGTACCCCGAAACTCCGGATGATCTCCCCCAGCGGCTTCATGTAGATGTTAAACAACATGGGAGACAGTATTGAACCCTGAGGAACCCCACAAGACAAAGGTTGTGGTGTTGAACAGGTGTCTCCCAGTAACACCTTCTGAGATCGACCCTCCAGGAATGACTGGAGCCACTGCAAAACAGTACCTCCAAGACCCATCCCCGCGAGGCGTCCCAGAAGGATACCGTGGTCGACGGTATCGAAGGCCGCTGAGAGGTCCAGCAGCACCAACAAGGACACACTCCCCCTGTCGAGCTCCCGGCGCAGATCATCCACTAAGGCGACCAAGGCTGTCTCGGTACCATGTCCCGGCCTAAAGCCAGACTGTGCCGGGTCTAGATAATCCGTGTCTACCAAGAATACCTGGAGTTGTGAGGCCACCACACGTTCCAAGACTTTGCCCAAGAAGGGGAGATTGGAAACTGGCCGATAGTTGTCGAATTTAGTGGGGTCCAGTGATGGTTTTTTCAACAGCGGTTTTATTATAGCTTGTTTTAAGCTCGCTGGAATCTTGCCTTCCCGAAGGGAAGCATTAACCACCACCTTAACCCACTCAGCCAATCCCCCTCTGGCCTCCTTTAGAAGCCAGGATGGGCAGGGGTCCAGGATGCATGTGGTTGGCCTCATTCCTCCAAGTATCTTGTCCACATCCTCGGGTTTCACCAATTGAAATGAATCCATCAAAACTGGACAAGCAGGTGCTCGTGTTACATCCTCAGAGACTGCCATTAACATGGTATCCAGACCAGAACGGATCAAAGCGACTTTGTCTGCAAAGAACTGAGCAAAAGCTTCACAGCGAGCTGCCGAGTCGCCAGGGCTCCCATCCTGAATGGTGGGTTTTAAAAGGCCTCTGACAACTCGAAACAGTTCAGCCGGACGGTTCTTTGCAGACGCAATAGTGGCCGCAAAGAAAGTTTTCTTTGCGGCTTTTATTGCCGCGGCATATGCCCTTAGAAAGGACACAAACCGTGTTCGATTTGACTCGCTCGGATCCGAACGCCACACGCTCTCTAGTTCCCTCTTCCTTCGCTTCATCACTGCCAGCTCCTCAGTGAACCAAGGGGCTGGTTTAGCTCAGCTACTTGAGAGGGGACGTTTATTTATTTATTTATTTATTTATTTACTCCATTTGTATACCGCATTTATCAGCCTGAAGCGGCGACTCAATGCGGTTTACAATAAAAATAAACAACACTGACAATATATAAGACACACATACACAAACGACACACATATAGTCATCAACGCCTCAATTAGAGTCAGATCCCGTTCTCACAGTCCTTTTTCGTTCCTTGTTCAAATGCCGTCTTACTGAGTTAGTTGTCATTGCATAGTTATCCGAATGCCTGTTCATAGAGCCACGTCTTAACCCTCCTCCGAAACACCAGCAACGAAGGGGCCTGCCTGATGTCCACTGGTAGGGCATTCCATAGCCGAGGGGCCACCACCGAGAAGGCCCTGTCTCTCGTCCCCGCCAGCCGCGCTTGTGACGCTGGCGGGACCGAGAGCAGGGCCTCCCCGGACGATCTTAACGTCCTCGCCGGTTCATAGGTGGAGATGCGTTCGGAGAGGTAAGTGGGGCCGGAACCGTGTAGGGCTTTATAGGCTAAAGCCAGCACCTTGAATTGTGCCCGGTAGCAAATTGGCAGCCAGTGGAGCTGGCTCAACAAGGGGGTGGTGTGCTCCCTGAGTGCCGCTCCCGTTAGCAACCTGGCTGCCGAGCGCTGGACCATCTGAAGCTTCCGGGCAGTCTTCAAGGGCAACCCCACGTAGAGCGCGTTGCAGTAATCTATGCGGGATGTGACAAGAGCGTGGACTACCGTGGCCAAGTCCGACTTCCCAAGATACGGGCGCAGCTGGCGCACGAGCCGAAGCTGTGCAAATGCTCCTCTGGAAACCGCTGAAACTTGGGGTTCCAAGCTTAGCGAAGAATCCAGAGTCACACCCAAGCTGCGAACCTGCGTCTTCAGGGGGAGTGCGACCCCGTCCAACACAGGCTGTAACCCTATACCCTGTTCGGCCTTCCGACTGACCAGGAGTACCTCTGTCTTGTCTGGATTGAGTTTCAATTTGTTCACCCTCATCCAGTCCGACACAGCGGCCAAGCACCGGTTCAGGACCTGGACAGCCTCCTTAGTAGTAGGTGGAAAGGAGTGACAGAGTTGGACGTCATCTGCGTACAGATAACACCGCACCCCGAAACTCCGGATGATCTCTCCCAACGGCTTCATGTAGATGTTAAATAACATGGGGGACAATATTGAACCCTGCGGGACCCCACAAGTCAATGGTCGTGAGGTCGAGCAGTTGTCCCCCAGCAACACCTTCTGGGTACGATCCTCTAGGAAGGACCTGAGCCACTGTAAAACAGTGCCCCCCAGGCCCATTCCCACAAGGCGTCCCAGAAGGATACCGTGGTCGACGGTATCGAAGGCCGCTGAGAGGTCCAGCAGAACCAACAGGGACACACTCCCCCTGTCAAGCTCACGCCGGAGATCATCCACTAAGGCGACCAAGGCTGTCTCGGTACCATGCCCCGGCCTAAAGCCAGACTGTGCCGGATCCAGATAATCAGTGTCTACCAAGAATGCCTGGAGTTGTGAGGCCACCACACGTTCCAGGACTTTGCCCAAAAAGGGGAGATTGGAAACAGGCCGATAGTTGACGAATTGAGTGGGGTCCAGTGATGGTTTTTTCAACAGCGGTTTTATTACAGCTTGCTTTAAGCTGGCTGGAATTTTGCCTTCCCGAAGGGAGGCATTAACCACCACCTTCACCCACTCGGCCAATCCCCCTCTGGCCTCCTTCAGAAGCCAGGATGGGCAGGGGTCTAGGATGCATGTGGTTGCTCTCATCCCTCCAAGCACCTCGTCCACATCCTCAGGTTTCACCAATTGAAACGAATCCAACAAAATCGGACAGACAGGTGTTCTTGTCACATCCTCAGAGACCGCCGTTAACATGGTATCCAGGCCCGAACGGATCAAAGCGACTTTGTCCGCAAAAAACCGTGCAAATGCTTCCGGAGCAATCGTGTCAATTGCCCTAGTCATCTCCCCATTCCAGAGAGCGACCAGGGCATCGACAGGCTCACCTACCGAGGAGACGGGAAAGTCCCCAAGAGCCAGCAGGAAGCCATCCGGATCCATAAGCCTCCTGGGGCGGACCAACTTAATGGGTCCTCCACCTTTGCAGAGCTTAGGGGGAGCAGTGAGCCTAAATCTGACCAGGTAGTGGTCGGTCCATGGCAACGGAGCGATGGTCAGCTCCTCGACACCGCCACCTTCCTCCCATCCCTGACAGAAAACCAAGTCCAATGTATGTCCTGCGCTGTGAGTGGGGCCAGCTACTTGTTGGGACAGTCCCATGGTTGCCATGGCAGACATGAAGTCCTGAGCCGCTCCTGAAAGGGCCGCCTCGGCATGGACATTGAAGTCCCCCAGCACAAGGAGCTGCTGAGACTCCAATGCCAGGCTCGAGACCACCCCCGCTAGCTCAGGTAGGGAGACTGTAGTGCAGCGAGGTGGACAGTACACTAACAGAATCCCTATTCTGTCCCGGTCACCCACCCTCAGGTGGACGCATTCAAAATTTGTTGACTGTGGGATGGGGCCCCTGGTCAGAGGGATAGAATCTCTATAGACCACTGCAACCCCGCCTCCCTGCCCTCCGGATCTTGGTTGGTGCTGCACGGAGAAGCCTGGTGGGCAAAGCTGGGTTAGATTCACACCTCCAGCTTTGTCCAACCAGGTCTCCGTGATGCACGCCAGATCTGCCCGCTCAACTAGTGTGGACAACAGGCAGAAATCCTCGCAGTTTTAGCTTTCTTGGCATTTCTGCAATTGCAAAAAGCACAAATCCTCCCAATTTGATCTTTCCTGGTTCAGTTGCTGTAACAACAGGCAGGAATCCAACCGGTATGGCTTTCCCAGCAACAACAGGCAGAAGCCCTCCCAATTTGGGTATTCCTGGCCTATCTGCAGTTATAACTATTAAAAATCTACCTGATCTGGCTTTTCCCCAGTACAACAGACAGAAATCCTTTAATGGTGGATTTGCAGGTATGACAGCTAGAAATACACCTGACAGGCTTTTTCCCATTGCAGTTGCAAGGACAACAGGCAGAAATCCTCCCCATTTGAGCTTTAATGGTGGATCTGCAGGTATGACAGGTAGAAATCCACCTGAGCTGGCTTTTTCCCATTGCAATCGCAAGGACAACAGGCAGCAATCCTCCCCATTTGAGCTTTAATGGTGGATCTGCAGGTATGACAGGTAGAAATCCACCTGAGTGGGCTTTTCCCCAGTGCAGTTGCAAGGACAACAGGCAGAAATCCTCCCCATTTGAGCTTTAATGGTGGATCTGCAGGTATGACAGCTAGAAATCCACCTGACAGGCTTTTTCCCATTGCAGTTGCAAGGACAACAGGCAGAAATCCTCCCCATTTGAGCTTTAATGGTGGATCTGCAGGTATGACAGCTAGAAATCCACCTGATCTGGCTTTTCCCCAGTGCAGTTGCAAGAACAACAGACAGAAATCCTTTAATGGTGGATCTGCAGGTATGACAGCTAGAAATCCACCTGAGCTAGCTTTCCCCATTGCAGTTGCAAGGACAACAGGTAGAATACTTTTCCTGGCCCAACTACAATGGCAACAGGCAGGGCTCCAACCGGTGCGGCTTTTCCCAAGAGGGCCATTACCTTTTGCATTTAAAAAAGGGGTAGGGGATGAAAAGGTGGGGGTGAAAAGGGAAGGGGGCGGAGCTTAGAAGCAGTGGCCCCTCCCTCCCCTTTGGAAAGGGCATATAAAGTCCTGGAAAGCGAGAGCCGAAGGGAGGCAAAGAGGGGAGCATCTTTGCAGCCTCTCTCTTTCTTTCTTTCTTTCTCTCTCCATCCAGATCCAAGGCCAAGCCCCGGGGGTCCGACTAGATGCCCTCATGGCGGCCCCGGCTCTCCTGCGCTGGGCACTGGCCTGGGCGCTGCTCTGGGCTTCGTCCGCCGCCTGGTACAAGCACGTGGCCAGCCCCCGGTACCACACTGTGGGGAGGGCTTCGGGGCTGCTGATGGGGGTCCGGCGCTCGCCCTACCTCTGGAGGAGAAACCCCCCCGCCCAAGAACAAGGGGGGCAGGAGCAGCCTCCCCTCCTGGGAGACCCCGGCCCGCCGCCCCCGCCGCCGGGGATCCGCCTGAGCTCCGCCCGGGAAGGCTTCCCTTGGGCTGGGCAGAGGGCCCCCTGGAAGACCAGGAAGGGGGCTTGGGGGTGGGCCGCCCCATGGAGCCCCCCGGAGCAGCAGCAGCGGAGGAGGAGGAACCCCCGACCTCACGGAGGAGAGGAAGGAAAGGAGGACAGGTGAGAGGAAAGGAGAGGGAAAGGACAGGCCAGAGAAAGTTGCCCAAAAGAAGGAGAAAAGAGGAGGAGGAGGAAGGGAGGGGTGTGCCAAGTAAGAAGAGGAAGGTGGGAAGATGCCCACAGCAAGCGGAAAGGCGGACTACAGACTCCAAGGAGGAAGAGGGAGGAAGGGAGGACAGGTGAGATGAAAGAAGGGCGCAAAGTTGCCCAAAGTAAGAAGAAAGAAGGAGGAGGAAGGGGATGCCCGGTAAGAAGAGGAAGGTGCAGGCATGTAGCCGGGGGGGGGGGGGGGCTGGGGGGCTTCAGCCCCCCCCGAAATTTTCATGGTGGTTCGCGAAAAGGCCTTAATGGTGCATTATTTAAACTGTTATGTTTATTCATATCATGATCTGATCACCATACTCAATATATCCCATATGCATGGGGGTATTGGGGTAATGATACAAAAGGTTTGCTAGGCTAGACCCTCTTTCACTCAGACTCAGCCCCCCCCGAAACTCAGCCCCCCCCCGAAACCCCCCCTGAAAAAAATTCAGCCCCCCCCCCCCCCCCCCGAAAACGAAATCCTGGCTACGGGCCTGGGAAGGTGGTAAGATGCCACCACAAGCCAAAAGGCTCACCTGTGGACTCCAAGGAGCAAGAAAGGTTGTCCAGGTGAAAGGATGGAAGAGGGGACAGGTGGAAGAAAATGACACCAGGTGAAGTTGCCCAAAGTATCCTTACTTTGGGCAACTTCACCTGGTGTCATTTTCTTCCACCTGTCCCCTCTTCCATAAGGGGATGTAAAGAGGAAGAGGAGGAGAAAGGGGATGTTAGGTCAGAAAAGAGGGCAAGACGAAAGGCTTGCCTTTGGATGCAGAGGAGGGAAAGGAACCGGGGGGGGGGGGGGGGGGAAAAAGCAGAAAAGGACGCAAGTGTAATGACTGGCAAGGAAGGAGGAAGAAGGAGGAGGAAGGAGGAGGAGGAAAGGGATGCTTCCTAAGAAAAAGAAGGTGTTAAGATGCCCACAGCAAACAGAAAGGCTCACCTCTGGATGCTGAGGAGGGAGAGGAACAAAGGAAGACAGGTGAGAAGAAAGAAGGGGGAAAAGTTGCCCAAAGTGAGGAGGAGGAGGAGGAGGAAGGGGATGTTAGGTCAGAAAAGACAGCAAGCGGAAAGGCTCGCCTTTGGATGCAAAGGAGGGAAAGGAAGGAGGGGGGGGGGGACAAGCAGAAAAGGATGCAAGGTGAAGTTGCCCAAAATAAGGAGAAAAGAGGAGAAGGAGGAGAAAAGGCATGCCAGGCAAAAAAAATAAGAAGTTGCTAAGATGCCCATAGCAAAGGGAGAGGATAATGACTCCGAGGAGGAAGGAAGGGAGGAAAGGTGAGCAGAAAGAAGGGGATAAAGTGGCCAAAAGTAAGTAGAAAAGAGGAGGAGGAGTAGAAGGGGGAGGAGGAGGAGGAAAAGGGTGCAGGTAAGAAAGAGGAAGGTGGTAAGATGCCCATAGCAAGAGGAAAGGCTCACCTTTGGACTCAGAGGAGGAGGAGGAAGGAAGGGGGGACAGGCAAAAGAAAGAAAAAGACACCAGGTGAGGTTGTCCAAAGGAAGGAGAAAAGAGAAGGAGGAGGAAGGGGGAGCAAGGTGGTAAGATGCCCACAGCAAGAGGAAAGGCTCACCTTTGCACTCTGAGGAGGAAGAGGAAAGAAGGGAGGACAGGTGAGGAAATGGAAGATGGAACAGGTACAAGAAAAAAGACACCAGGTGAGGTTGCCCAAAGGAAGGAGAAAAGAGGAGGAAGGGGATGCCAAGTAAGAAAGAAGAAAGTGGTAAGGTATCCACAGCAAGCAGAAAAGGTCACCTTTGAACTCTGAGGAGGAAGGGGAAGGAAGGGGGGACAAGTGAGAGGAGACAGGGATGGGCCAGGTAAAGTTACCCAAAGTAAGCAGAAATGAAGAAGAGGAGGAGGGGAAAAGCAACGCCAGGTAAGAAAGAGGGAAAGGGGCTGGGTATGATGCTCAAGTAAAAAGACTTATCTTTGTACAGGAAGGAAGGGAGGGAGGGACAGGTGAGAAAAAGATGACCAAAGTAAGGAGGGAGGAAGGAGGTGCCCCCCCCCCAGCAAGAAAGAGGAAGGAGGTGCCAGGTGAGAGGAAGGGGCAACAGGTAAGAGGAAGCAAAGTAAGTTGCCCAAATTAAGGAAAGAGGAGGAGGAGGAAGAAAAGAAGGGAGGCCAGGTGAAGAAAAGGACACCAGGTGCCTACAGTGAGGAGGAGGAAAGGGATACTAGGTTGTTGTAGGTTTTTTCGGGCTATATGGCCATGGTCTAGAGGCATTCTCTCCTGACGTTTCGGCTGCATCTATGGCAAGCATCCTCAGAGGTAGTGAGGTCTGTTGGAACTAGGAAAAAGGGTTTATATATCTGTGGAATGACCAGGGTGGGACAAAAGACTCTTGTCTGCTGGAGCTGGGTGTGAATGTTTCAACTGAAAGGGATACTAGTTGAAAGGTAGAAAGCAACAGGCAAAAGGAAGAGAATCCAGGTTAGGTTGCCCAAAGGAAGAAGAAATGAGGAGAAAGAGGAAGAGGGTGCCATATAAGAAAGAGGAAGGTGTTAAAATGCCCACAGCAAGCGGAAAAGCTCACCCTTGGACTCCAAGAAGGAAGAGGAAGGAAGGGGGTACAGGTAAGGAAATGGAAGAAGGGACAGGTGAAGGAAAAATGTGCCAAAACAAGGAAAAAAGAGGAAGGGGGTGCCAGGCAGGAAAGGAGAAGGAGGTGCCAGGTGAGAGGAAGGGGGCAACAGGTAAGAAGAAGGCAAGTAAGTGGTCTAAATTAAGGGGAAATCCCCAAATGAGGAGGAGGAAGAGGAAGGTGATGCCAGGTAAGAAGAAGGGATGTCAGGTAATGAGGAAGGGGATGCCAGGGAAGGTGTCCACACTGAGTAAAAATACTCACCCTTGGATGAAGAGGAGGAAGGCAGGGCCAGGTAAGACTAGGCAAAGGGAAGAGGAAGATGCCAGGTAAGAAAGAGGAAAGCGGGGACATGTAAGCTGCCCACAGCAAGCAGAAAAACCTCCGTCAAGCAAGAGAGAGGAGTAAGAAAGAAGGTGGAGGAGAAAGGGAGTGCTTTGCAAAAGGAAGAGAGACCAGATAGGACTCTCACAATGTTGCTATTACACTATTTAAAAATATTTGAAAAAAATCTGTTCCTGATTTGAAAATGTGATTTCCTAATTAATTATGCAGTCCTTACTTTGAAAGTAGTTGTTCTACTCCAGAAACTTTGTTTTTGTGGCTGCCACAAACTACGTTGACTTGGATGAGACACGATGAGGCATTCATTGAAAAACTAGAGCAAAATGTGCTGCAGGATGTCCCACAAAAACAAAGTTTGTGCAGTCTAATCAGCTTTTTCCATGTTTTTATGATAGAACCAATTAGGAAATGATATGTATCACACAGGAACAAAAATCATGTTACATTGCGTTACATTTAACACTGCCATGCTCCACATAAAGCCTTGAGGAGCAGTGGGTAAGAAATACGGTAAAACGTTTCATCATAATCATCTCTGTGGTATCCTGTTTCAATCCTTGGAGAAAGGTAGGGAATAATAATAATAATAATAATGATTCTAATAATGATGCTAATAATGATGCTAATAATACTAATACTACTACTAATAATAATAATTCTGCTGTACACCACCTCAAGCCTTGGAAAGATAAGAAACAAATGTAATAATGTGTTGTCAAAGGCTTTCATGGCTGGAATCACTGGATTGCTGTGAGGTTTCTGGGCTGTATGGCCATATTCCAGAAGCATTCTCTCCTGACTTTTCACCCACTCTATGGCAGGCATCCTCAGAGGTTGTGAGGTCTGTTGGAAACTAGGCAAGTGAGGTTTATATATCTATGTAATATGTATAAAGCTCACTTGCCCGGTTTCCAACAGACCTCACAGCCTCTGAGGACGTCTGCCATAGATGTGGGCGAAACATCAGGAGATAATGCTTCTGGAACATGAGCAGACAGCCCAGAAAACTGACAGCAACCCAACAAAATGTAATAATCATCATAATACTTTCTCTCTCTCTAAGGATCAGTGTAGGGTATGACAGAGTTTGTGTTGTTGTTGTTGATGATGAGAATAATAACAATACTAATTATACTATTTCTTCCCCACCTCTTACCAGAGCTCAGGGCGGGCTTCAACAGAGATGATGATGATGACTGTAATAATATTATCCTACAGTGTAGATTCATCTTAGGAAGATGCACTTTAGAAAATGTCAATTTAATGTCAATTTCCTTATTTTAAAAGGTCTTGCAAAGGCACAAGGCAGTTCCCCAACAACCTCTTCCTTTGTTTTGAATCCTTGCAGAATGTTTGAGCTCACAATCTGAGGCAACGCAAACCTGTCCAGCAGAAGGGATGCCTGGAAAACCACACACGAATGGCCCCGGGAACATGGTCCCCGAATGGAACCCCCTCTCCACCTCTTTGGACTCATGCATTTCAATCCACTTTCCAGGAAGAAGCAGAGCGACTGCAAAACCCATCGCCCTCCCAGTTCTAGGATGCCTGCAGATATTTTGAAACTTCACCAAAAAAATGTCAGAATGCAAAACGGAAAATGCTCATTCCTCTCCTCCTTTTTTTGAAGCTCAGGCGGAGAATAAAGCAAGGAAACGCATGATGTGGGGCTCTCATTTCCAATCCCTCTTGTCGCTTCTCTGCAATTTCATGTTATTTATCCCTTCCCCGGGGGAGGCCTTGCTAATTAAAAATGAAATTTAATCAACGGAATGAGATGCTTCCTTGTGTAAAGAAAGAATTAGATAGTTTGGGAATAAAGGGAGGAAGGGTTCGTCTATATTGTAGAACGAATGCAGTTTGACACCTCTTTTAACTGCCATGGCTCAAGGCTATGGGATCCTGGGAGTTGTAGTTTTCCATGACCTTTAGCCTTCTCTGACAAAAGGATGCATCATTCTACACTGTAGAATGAATGCAGTTTGGCAGCACTTGAACTGCCTTTGTGAAACTCTATGGGATTCTGGGAGTTGTAGTTTCCCGAGGTCATTAATCTTCTCTGGCAAAAAAGAGTTGTAGTTTTCCAAGGTCTTTAGTCTTCTCTGACCAAAGGATGCATCTACAATGTAGAATGAATGCAGTGTGATAGCACTTGAACTGCCCTAATTAAATGCCATGGGATCCTGGGAGTTGTAGTTTTCCATGGCCTTTAGCCTTCTCTGACAAAAGGTGCATCTACGCTGTAAAATGAATGCAATTTAATAGCACTTGAATTACCTTAGTTAAATGCTATGGGAGTTGTAGTTTCCCGAGGTCATTAATCTTCTCTGGCAAAAAAGAGTTGTAGTTTTCCAGGGTCTTTAGCCTTCTCTAACAAAAGGGTGCATCTACACTATAGAATGAATACAATTTAATAGCACTTGAACTGCCCTAATTAAATGCCATGGGATCCTGGGAGTTGTAGTTTTCCATGGCCTTTAGCCTTCTCTGACAAAAGGGTGCATCTAGACTGTAGAATGAATGCAGTTTGATAGTACTTGAATTGCTTTAGTTCAATGCCATGGAGTCCTGGGAGTTGTAGTTTTCCAAGGCCTTTAGCCTTCTTTGCATCTACACTGTAGAATGAATACAGTTTGATACTAGGTACATGAACTGCCAGTGGGTTAATGTTATGGGATCCCGAGAGTTGTAGTTTCCTAAGGTTCTCTCTCTTTGCCAGAATGCAAACCACAACTTCCATGATCCCATAGCAACAAGCGTTTGTACTTATGGTCAAACCCACGTTTGGTTTACATCTGTTCATTTACACTCAACAGTCTATTAAAATATTTATACTATATACACTCATTTTGATAGAATATCTTCTCATGCAATTAAAAACACAGTGCAATGTTTGCCTACTAAAAAATAGAAGATCTGGCAGTCGCAAGCTCTGTTCAATGAACCAATAAAAAAATCTTTAAAATTATATATATATATTCCAAGCCAGCGAGTAATGAGGAATGCGGCTTCAGCAGAGCAAGTTTTCAGCCAAATCTGCGCTGGCAACACTCCCTGGAAGACAAATTGGATAATCAATTGGAAGCAAAGGAGGTTCTGCCAGGGAAAGGAGCAGCTGGGGAAGGGAAAAAAAGAGGTTCTCTGAGCCTGTTTCTCCAAGGATGAGAGCCTCAGCTGCAGGATTGAAATGTGTTTTATCCAAGGGCTCCCTGCTGAGATCTGGGTTCGAATCAGAGTTGGAAGAGACCCCCAAAGGCCATCTAGCCCAACCCTATTCTGCATCCCCTTCATCATCTCCATGTCAGGAGGGATGACAGTATGTCCAAAGTTATCTAGGGTTACTATTACTATTATTACTATTATTACTATTATTGCCGTTCTGCCAGGGATTGCTGCCATTCACTGCAATGAGTTTCCCCAACAACTCATGGCCCGCCATTGCTGCATAAACCTCCATGTTCCCTAGCAATAGTATATAGCTGCTGCCTCATAACTTCGTTAGAGACGGGTGGGCAATTAGTATGATTATTTTACCCACTGTGCCAGGAGTTTGAACCAAATTGTGCCCATCTGCTACAATGCAGGATTTTCCTTTCTTCAAAACTGATCAAGGTCCTGAAGCCAATGGCTCATGGCTTATCAATGATGCCCAGAGCCCCCTAACTTTGCAATAGTTGATCCTAGCTATCTCATAGCCTCACATAACCCCATCGCCAAGTCGGAAGGGCTGGCAGTACTTCCAAAACTATTGTTATTTTCCCCATCATGCTAGGATTTAGGACTGCATTTGCATCCATTGGTTTTTCCAAATGGCTTACAGCCCACCATTACCGCATAGAATCAAATCAAAGATAATCACCTGAGAACATGAAGGCTGGGCGAACACCTCTGGCTGTTTCCCAAGCCAGGTATCTAACTTACAAATGACTCCTAGTTAAGAACAGGGTGAGACAACAGAAAGTGAGAGAAGTCTACCCCTTAGAAGGGAAATCCACTCCTGAAAGAGTGATAATGGGGAAAGGTATCTCCACTGAAGATTTATCTTCAATTCTTGTTTCCACAACAAGCCGAATTTTTCAAAATTCAATGATCACAGAGATGGAAAGTGACGTGGAATCTTCTGAACACAGCAAAGAAAACCTCACATAGGTGTCAACCTTTCTCTATGAGGTCCAAAAATGTGTTTATGTGTGTGTAGCTGGAGTTACACTTCAAAAATGTCCTTTGGGCTCTCCAGGCCAATGGATACTCCACCTCAGACATCAGAAGAGCTGCAAGACCAAGAACAAGCCACGAGAGTAAAGATGAAGATCCACCCAGAGGAAAAGTGTTCTTGCCATACATCAAGGGAACCACTGACCACATAGGGAAGCTGATGAGGAAACACAACATACAAACAATCTACAAATCCACCAAGAAAATCCAACAAATGCTACGTTCAGCAAAGGACAAGAGGGATCCTCTCACCTCTGCAGGAGTCTACCGTATACCATGCAGCTGTGGACAAGTCTACATAGGGACCACCAAACGCAGCGCCCAAACAAGAATCCAGGAACAGGAAAGGCACTGCAGACTACTCCAACCAGAGAAATCAGCCATAGCAGAGCACCTGATGAACCAACCTGGACACAGCATATTATTTGAGAACACAAAAATGCTGGACCACTCTCACAACCACCATGTCAGACTACACAGAGAAGCCATTGAAATCCACAAACATGTGGACAATTTCAACAGAAAGGAAGAAACCATGAAAATGAACAAAATCTGGCTACCAGTATTAAAAAACTCTAAAATTGCAACAGCAAAAACAGCAGAGAGAAAAACAGGCAGGGACATCTAATCACCCTTCAAGAAGAGTTTGCCCCAGGCACAGTCAGCCCATTGTATGCTAATCAAGATGGGCAGTTGAAAGATCCACACCTAGCCCAACTTACAAAAGCCCTTTGTCTCACCCTGGTCATTCCACAGATATATAAACCCCTTTTTCCCAGTTCCAGCAGACCTCACCTCTGAGGATGCTTGCCATAGATGCAGGCGAAACGTCAGGAGAAATGCCTCTAGAACATGGCCATACAGCCCGAAAAAACCTACAACAACCCAGTGATTCCAGCCATGAAAGCCTTCGACAATGCTTGTTCCAATTTATATACAAATTGAACTTAAGAACAAACCTACAGAACCTACCTTGTTCATAACTTGGGGGCTGCCCGTACTGCACAAGAGAATACAATATCTCTTTTCCATAACAATATAACTTCCTACCTCCTCTTTCTCTTCTTTCTTTCTCTTCTTTCTTTCTTTCTTTCTTTCTTTCTTTCTTTCTTTCTTTCTTTCTTTCTTTCTTTCTTTCTTTCCTTCCTTCCTTCCTTCTCTTCTTTCCTTCCATCCCCCCACTTTTTCTTTCCCTTCCTCTTCCTCCCCTTACTTTTTTCTCTACCTATTCTTGGACTGCAACTCCCAGCAGATCTACCTATCTACCTACCTATCTATCTATCTCTATCTAATCTATCTATCTGGAGGATTGCTGGGAGTTGCAGTCCAGGAATAGGAAACTGGAAATATGCAGGTATTGAGATGCTCTGAAAGAAATCCAAGGAGAAGAAAGCTTGCAACCTGGAAGCAGTGCATTGGGATCATCCTCCTCTCCTAAAGGGCCTGGTCCAGGGGATGCTGGGAGCTGTAGTCCGGAAGACAGTGTGGATATGCTATTGTGTGTTTTGTTTGCCAGGGGAGTAATTTTTGCGCATGCACTGCAGCGTCTTTTTTGGCTTTTTAAGTCTCCTCTGCTGTGTTTTTCAGTGTTTATATGAGCGATGGTCACTTGTTGGCCTGACAGGTGTATTGTGTCCAAATTTGGTGTCAATTTGCACAGTGGTTTTTGATTTATGCTAATCCCACAAATGAACATTACATTTTTATTTATATAGATACATCTACACATACATACATGAACACACACACAAAATAAATGAGAGACAAAGATCTATCAGAAAACTTACTGCTCAAAATCTTCAAAAATATTCACAAGACAGTATGGGACACTAAAAGAAGTTTGATAACACCTCCAAATGCAATTCATAACACACACACACACAAGTGCAAGTGTGTGTGTATGTGTGTGTATGTATATATATATATATACACACACACACACACACACACACACACACTGTCCCCTGCCATGCGTTGGTGGGGCCCAGTCTGTGATTATGTGTTTTGTGTGTATATATGCATATGTGTGTGTATATTTGTGTATATGTGTGTATATATGTGGTTTTGTGCATGCGTTGTAATGTATTTTTTGTTTTTTGGCTTTTTACATCTCTTCTGCTGTGTTTTTCAGTGTTTTTATGAGTGATGGTCACTTGTTGGCCTGATAGGTGCATTGTGTCCAAATTTGGTGTCAATTCGTCCAGTGATTTTCGAGTTATGTTAATCCCACAAACATTACATTTATACACACACACACACTCCTTGCTATGAAACCGTTTTGTACCAGATACTGTTTCTTCAGTTAAAAGACTTGCTAATCCATTGTAAATTTGGCAAAGAGGCACAACTATTCAAGAGCGACTTCATCATCTTCTAGCTATTTAGCACATTGGAAACGATTGAGCTAAGCGAGCAGATTTTCCCGAAGCAAGAGAAATATACTTTGAGATCAGTTTTGATATGCATGGAAGTTTCTATAAGGGAAATCCACATAGTGGTTTTTCTAAATAAATACGTACACACTTATATGACTTTTGCATCATCAAAAATATCGAACA